GTGGAAGCCAAATGTAGTTGTTGATGATGACGTTGTTTTACCTCCTTTTTGTAAGAGACCTGCTGGACGTCCAAGAACGAAGAGAATACCTTCTAACGGCGAAATCAAGAGAATTAAATGCAGTAGGTGTGGAAAGATGGGAACTCATAATCGGAAGACATGTAAACAAGCTTTGTTTTAGTTGTATTGATTTTAATTGAATTACTTTGTTTGAGAGTTGAGAGGTGCTACTTGTATTGAATGATTGAGTATTTTTTGAAAGATGTATCATTTTGGTACTCGCATTGAATGATTGAGGAATTTGTTGATCAGAAATTATATTTTTTGCTGATATTTTTACAGGATTAAGTCTCACATATTTATGTTATTTGATTTGGGTTAAATGTAGTTGCTTTTTTTTGGTGTTTTATAAAGTGATAAATTTATCACTGGTTGGTTTGGACAAGTTGATGAATTATTATTTTTTTTAAGAATGATAAATGTACCATTAATGTGGTTCTTGAATTTTGTTACTTTGAAGAATGATAAATTTATCACTTATTGTGTGGGAAGAGTTGATGGTTTATTACATTTATGTCAGTGGTTGATAAATTTATCACTATCATATCCAAGCAAATGTTCTTTTCTTCAGTGATAAATTTATCATTGTATAGAGTTATCTAGTTTTCCCAGGAAAAATTTCCACAATACAAAGGTGTAGATCAAATCTCTAGAATACATAATTGCATATCTGTTGTGTTAACTGCTTTAAAAAGCAAAATTTTTTAAATCAACTACCATGTTTATTTGGTTTAGCAACAAGTTCTTAGTCTGCATACTGTTTTGTGGTCACTCAGAAACTAGCTTTGGATGTTTGAGTTGTTTAACTGAAGTATCAAATGGTTTTGATTATTCAGAAATCACCAAGGATGGCATGTTCTTACATTCATTATCAAAGTTGGGAATATCTACAAATTGTAACAGTATTTTAATTTTCAATTTGGACAATGTAATAGTGCTTGTGTTTTAATTTTTAATTAGGTAAATTTTTTATTATTTTTTATAGTGTTTTGTTTACTTGAATTGGGGAAAAAGAATGAGAGGAGAGTCGCTGGTTTTTTCGTTTGAACATTGGTAAATTTATCAGTGTTAACAGTGATAAATTTGTTGAAACAGTGATAAATTTATCAGGGTAAACAAAACACTATAAAAAATAAACTTATCAGTATAGTGACTCCAAACCTGTTATTAACCTTTAAATTCAATACTCAGATTAGAATCAATTTTTTGAATGAAATTTGGATAACAAGACTGATATGAAAAACCAGGTCTGGTAACGATATGGCTAAAAAAGACTGAATGTTTCATTGAAGCAAATTTGAGATTGTAACAAGCAAGCATTGTCCATAACTTTGACATTGTAACAACCAAGCATTGTAATATTCATTGGATTAAAGTAAGAACCAAAATCATCAAAATACAGGTAAGACTGTAACATATCAAAATACAGGTAACACTGTCCGTTTGTTTTCTTCTATTCCAGATGTGTTGATTATTGCAAAGGCAAGTCATCAATGTTTTGATCAGGTATTTGTCATTGAGCAGCTTGTTGGTCAGTTAAGAAGACAGTTAACATATCAGCTCTCAGTTGATTGCATTCTTCCTTGGTAAAAGTAGGCATTATGTTTTTATTGGAAACATATTTCCTTATGATGTAGCAAATAAGGATTCCGCAATCAAGCCTACAAAAACATTTTGAAAACAAAATATTATAATTTGGTTTTGTTGCTTTTTTTTTTTAATAATAGTGTTTTGTTATTGATAAACTTACGATATGTCATCTTGTTGTGGGTTGCTCATATTTAATTAAATCTCTTCTTTTAACCTTGTTTTCACTCAATGTATCAACCAGAAGTGAAAAAGGTGTCTTTCTCAATACTGTCAAATGCTCCTCTCTGAGTTTTGTTGTCTTGAAAAATTTGATAAGAGATTGAATGTTGGAACGGTAGACATACTTTGCTTCATTATCATGTATCTGTTCAGTCCTAGTTTTTCTTCCATCAATTTTTTTCTTCCCTCTTGGTTTGTGGAGCTCTGTAGGTTGTTTCAGTTGTTCCTGTTTGGGCTCCTCATTGTCAATGTTAGATTCAGGTTTAACTTTTAGTTGATTTTCACTTTCATGTGTTGTTGGCTCTATAAGAAACTCAACTTTTTCAATCTTTTTCTTCTTTGAGAAACTTGTTTCTCGACGACGTAATCTTTTATAATGGCTGGCAACATCTGTACAAAAACATTGAGCATGAATATTAAAAATTAAGAAGAATTTTATCACTGAACTAGGCAAACTAAGTAGAATTTATCAATCTATTATGCAAATTAAGCAAATATATAACTGTGTAACAAAGTTTAGATTCCAAATTGCAAAAGAACATGAAGTATCATGATGAAGATGAGAACAATTGTATAGCAAATTTTATCACTGAATTAGCAAAAGTAAGAAAATGCATCATTGTATAGCAAATGAACATAAAGGTATGATTGTTATGATGTTGAATATCACTCATAAATTAATACTGTATGGTACAGATTTAAAATAGCTTCAAGTCAAATTTTATCACTCAATTATAATTATGAAAGAAGAAGGGAAGCAAATCCATCGTTATAACAAATTTTATCACTCAATTAGGAAAATTAAACAAATCTGTCAATCTTATAACAAATTTTCTCACTGATTCGGGCAAAGTAAGCAAATCTGGCATTGTATAGCAAATTTTATCACTGAATTAACAAAAGTAAGCAAATCCATCATTGTATAGGAAATGAACATGAAAATGTGATTATTATGAAGTTGAATATCGCTCATAAATTAATACTGTATGGTACAGATTAGAAATAGCTTTAAGTCGAATTGTATCACTCAATTATAGTTATGAGAGAAGACGGGAGGCAAATCTATCATTATAACAAATTTTATCACTGAATTAGAAAAATTAAGCAAATCTATTATTGTTGTAGCAAATTTTATCATTTAATTGGGCAAAGTAAGCAAATCTGTTATTGTATATCAAATTTTATCACTGAATTAGCAAAAGTAAGCAAATCCATCATTGTATAGCAAATGAACATAAAGATATGATTATTATTGAAAATAGTTTCAAGTCGAATTTTATTACTCAATTATAGTTATGAAAGAAGAAGGGAATCAAATCCGTAGTTATGAAATAAGAAGAGAAGTAAATCCATCATTATAACAAATTTTATCACTAAACTAGGAAAATTAAACAAACCTACCATTCTTATAGCAATTTTTCTCACAAAATTGGGAAAAGTAATGAAATCTGTTATTGTATATCAAATTTTATCACTGAATTAGCAAAAGTAAGCAAATCCATCATTATATAGCGAATTTTATAACTCAATTACAGTTATGAACGAAGAAGGGAAGCAAATCCATCATTATAACAAATTTTATGACTCAATTAAGAAAATTAAGCAAATCTATCATTCTTATAGCAAATTTTCTCACTGAATTGGGCAAAATAAGCAAATCTGTTATTGTATAGCAAATGAACATGAAGATGTGATTATTATGAAGTTCAATATCACTTAATTACAGTTATAAAAGAAGAACGGAAGATGAATACGACTCACGTTTCATTCGCATGTTTGTTGAAGATGAACGAAACAGGGAATGTAGATCGAAACGGTGAAGGATTTGCTGGAAATCTGTTCGGAATCAGATTATTGATCGAAACAGAGGTGATTTTTTTGGAAATGATGGGAGATACAGGGAAAATCTCTTCGTTTGTTTTGATTTTCAAATTGCAAATCGCCTCAGAATGGTTTCCAAATCGCTTCAGAATAGTTTCCAAATCAGAACATTTGAGAAGGAGCGTGTGTTTCACGCGCACAGGGTAGACCTCGTGATATGCTCTTTGATTCACGCATGTGGTGTGACATTCAGGGGTAAAATTGGAAACTAAAATAGGCCAGGACTTGGTGGGTATTAATTTGTTTGCATGGGACCGGCTGGTAAGTGCCCCAAAGTAAATTGTTATATGGACCAAGTTAATTTATATGGTACTGGGCTCTCCTAATCTTTCTTATTATTTCATTTAAAGTAATATTATACAAATAATTTGTTTTGAAATTTTTTTATATGAAATAATATGATTTTTTGTATTGTTTAATTTTAAACAAAAAAAACATTGGCCATTGTAGCTTGTAATTTAATAAAAATACTAGTGAGATATAATTCTAATTAAGTTTTTTTTAATAAAAATTTTATATCCATCAATTTCCGTTCTATGATTAGTTGTGAGTATGACAAATCCAAACGCAACCAAATTTGAAAGAAAAAAAGTAGGTATTAAAATAAAAAGAAAACAAATATTGCAAGACATTTTTCACGAGGGTAGAACACAAAGAGAAGAAGGAAAAAAAAGAAAAAGAAAAAAAGTGAGGGGTTCGAAATAATTTCACAACAGACCAAGGGGGAAAAGTATAATTTCACAAAGTAAATTTCAATCCGAATCTGTACTCTGCTCTCTCTTCGCTTGTGCGCAGCATTTTCTCTCTCTCTCTCTCTCTTCTCAGCGATGGCAATTTCAGCTTCGTTTCGTCTATTCTATGCCAGATTCCCACAATCTCTCCTCCACCCCAATACCCCAATCTTCAAAACCCTCCTTCTATCAAAACCACCAATCCCCCCAAAGCTCTCTTTCTTCAAATCAATCTCAATTCAAAGACTCCCCACAAAACCTCTTGCTTCATCATCATCATCTTCAGCCTCTGTTTCTCTCCAACCCATTGAAGAACTCCCTCCGAAGCTCCAAGAAATCGTGAAGCTCTTCCAAGCCGTCCAAGAACCCAAGGCCAAGTACGAACAGCTCTTGTTCTATGGGAAAAATTTGAATCCCCTCGATACCCAATTCAAGACCAGCGAGAACAAGGTTCAGGGTTGTGTCTCTCAGGTCTGGGTCAGAGCATATCTCGATTCGGAGAAAAATGTTGTCTTTGAGGCCGATTCTGACTCGGTTCTCACCAAGGGACTCGCGGCTTTGCTAGTTCAGGGGCTTTCGGGCCGGCCTGTTGGGGAGATTTTGAGGGTTTCGCCTGATTTCGTAGTGCTTCTTGGGTTACAACAGAGTTTGACTCCATCTAGGAATAATGGGTTTTTGAATATGTTGAAATTGATGCAAAAGAAGGCTATACAGCTTTATGTGGAAGCTGAAAAGGCCAGTGAATCGGGCAGCGAAGCAGTGGGGAGCGGAGAAAACCCGGTCGTGGATTCAAATTCAGGCTCGAAAAATGGGTTTGGTGTTGGGGATTTGAAAGCTGGATTGAGTTCTGAATCAGCAATTGATGATTTAGAATCGAATTCAGACGGTGGTGTTGGGTTGGGGGGTAGAGGAAAGAGAATTGAGGAGAAATTGAAGAGAGAGCTTAGGCCTACTGAGTTGCAAGTCGAAGATATATCTTATCAGCACGCAGGGCATGCCGGTGTTAGGGGCAGTGATGGTGAAACACATTTTAATGTGAAAGTGGTGTCGAAAGAGTTTGAAGGCAAGAGTATGGTTAAGAGACATAGGCTAATTTATGATTTGTTGCAAGATGAGTTGCAGAGTGGATTGCACGCATTGTCAATTGAGGCAAAGACACCATCTGAAGTCGATGGGAGGTGAATTTTTTTTGCGAGAGAGGTTCCTTTTTTTCAGTTCTTTGTTTTTGTTCGTTTTAGTCCGGTGATCAATTTATGCTCTTTAAATTTTTACAAGCATTGTACCTTATAGAACTTGGAGGATGTGATAGCATTGTATGGTTGATATTAATGCTTAATAAATTCCATTTCAGAGTATCTTTGTGATGTGTCATCTTTTATGATCTTCAAATATTACATTGTATACCAATTTAGATATGCTTCTTGATATCCATTTTGCGTTAGACTTGTAAATATGTTGCTGAATAGTCTTTATTATGTTTGTAAACCTTGTGAAGGAATAAATTCATATGGCTTGATGGGTGGCAATGGTTTGAGCTTTAGGCTCTTCTGGATTCCATTTAGTTCATTTGTTGAGTTGATATTTGACATAATTGTACTCTGTGAAGGAGTAGCTTGAGCGCGGCATTGAGAAGGGTTATACTGTTGGACAATTTTTTGTCCAAGCTCATTGGTATTCGTATCTCACATCTTTTCCTCCAAGTTTTTTCAGAGTGTATGATGATATGACTGGAGCTCTTCATTGTTGGTGACGTTCTTTTACATTTTTGATCACTTCCACTCTTTGAAATTTCATTTAGATCTAGTTTATTTTTTGTAAGTAGTTGAAATTTTATTGCTGAATTTTTCTTTACGCTGTATTTGGTTGGGGGATTTGGAAAGGAAAAGAAAAAAGATAGGTAAAATGTGAATAAAATATACTTATATTTCACCTAATTTCACACATTTTTCTTTTTACCTTTCCAAATTCTTCCTTAAATCCCTCAATGAAACATAGATTTAGTTGGTGTAGGGGGTTCAAGGTTAGGAAGGTGATTAGAGAGGCGAAACTATGCTAATGGTCCAACAATGGTGGAAGTGGCTGGAGAATGAGCAACAACAACTTTCTGGGAGTTGGAGAGTGTGTAGCTGGGTGAGGATGAAGCAGGTAGCTCAAAAAGAAATGTAAAGTAGTGCACAAATGGGCAGCATCTCCTCCAAATCTCCAAAATTCCCTGTGATTGAACCTTGGGAAATGGGTCCTATTTATAGGCTCTTTCTTGGTACTAAGAGGACACCAAGTGGCCAAATAGAGAGAAGACATGTGTCCTTAAGGATCACATAGAATATTCTGCCTTGAGCCACCAGGCTGAAGGTGCCACGTGTCTCTCTACATATACTCTGTCCTATTTGTTTACCTCTGTAACTACCCTTTTGAACCTCAGCGAGTGTAGTTGCGACGGGAGTGCTTGGCGCTGCAACTCCCTTTTGAGCCTCAGCAAGTGCAGTTGCGGCGGGAGCGTTTGCTGCTGCACTTGCCTTCTCAGCTCAAACCTCAGTAAGTGCACTTGCAGCGGTAAACCTTGCTGTGATACTTGCCTTCTCAGGTCTACTTGGCCAGTACATGCATTCTCAGGACTCCATTAGTCTGCTATCAACTATGTTTGTGCTCACCTCAGTGAAGCCTCCACCCTTAGCCACCTAACCACAAACTCCCCAGCTTCTCAGGGCGAAGGCCCCAGCCAAGCTTGCTATCAGCCATGCTGTGCCTTAGTACCAAGCCCAGGGGGACTTCCCATGACCTGGGTAATGGAAAGGGAGTCCCTTACACTCAGGCTATCTTGCTCCCATCTTCGTGGGATCGCTGCGGTATACTGGTATTTCTGAGCTTGTTATCAGCTCCAACCAGTAAGTCTTGGGGCCTGCTATCAGCGCCAAGCATTAGCCTCTTCTTGCAGAGGGGAAGCTTTTCCCGAAGGCTGCTATCACCTTGGCGGGTTGTTCACTTCGCAAATTGGTTGCGGCGGCTATAGTTGTTGTGGTAGCCTTTTCCCGTGGCAAGTTAAAATGGCAAAACCGACAATATTGGAGATGGCGCCGACAACGTGCCTCTTCAACTGGGCGTTGCAAGTGTTGCCTTTGCAACTTAATTGCTTTGGCTTTCTCTTTCCATCAGCAACTTCAGATGATGGCTGAACCAACATTATTGCGTAATGGCGGCACTGAGGCAAAGTGCCTCAGCAATTTGACCGCTGCAAGTGTTCCCTCCGCAGCTTGACTGTTGCATGTGTTGCCTCTGCAACTTGACTTCGGCATTTTCCTTCGTGGAGTCCGTTTGGACCCCTTAACGGGTCGGACCTTCTTCGGCCCTCTGTTGGTCCACTTCTCTTGGGCTTTAGCCCATGCTCTTTTTTCATTCCAAGGGCGACCTCAGCACTTAGGCCCATATTTAATTTGGAGCTTAATTTCTGACCCTCTACAGTTGGTTTGCATTTGGATACCTTGTGCATCCTCATTGGCACGTATCACACACACTGAATTTTTTTTAGAAAATTTGTTCCATTATTGTTAATCTGATTCATGTTCCCCTTCAAGTTTGGTTTATTTGTCTCTGTGAGAGTTGGGTGTCTTGGGGCGAGTTTTGAGCTTCATTGCATTTCCTTTTCTGGTAATATAAAGCTACTTGCCCAAAAAAAAAGAAAAAAGAAATAAAAAACTCCCTTCAAGATTTTTTTATTGTTGTTACAGTTACCAAACCAAATCAAACCAAGCCTTGAGTCCCATCAAATGGGGCCGGCTACATGAATCTTTCTTCTCCACACGGCCCTATCAAAGGCCGTTTCATTAGTCAAATTAAGTAGATTTATATCTCTATTTACAACGCTAACCAACGTTATCCCGTCCCCTAACACTTCCATCTATCTTTACAGCATCGCATCTCTTCACTATTGCCTCTGTTGGTCTCCGTTGAATATGACCAAACCTTTTCAATCGATTCTCTCTCAACTTATATTCTATCGATGCTACTCCTACCCATTCCCGAATACACGCATTGCTAATTCTGTCTTGTCTAGTCTTGCCACACATCCACCTTAGCATTCTCATCTCAGCCACACTCATCTTATCTACATGTTGTTTCTCAGTTACCCAACACTCCGTCCCATACAACACCGTTGGTCTAATAGCCATTCTATAGAACTTACCTTTAAGTCTAGTGGGTATTCGTTTATCGCACAGTACCCTAGACGCACTTCTCCACTTACACCATCTCGCCTTAATCCTATGGGCCACATCCGCAGCAATATCCCCCGCTGTTGTGATAATCGACCCTAAATAATGAAAATGTTCACTCTTAAGCAATTCTTGGTTCTCAATCTTCACTTCTCCTCTGCTTTCATTTTTACTGTTACTAAATTTACACTTTGTGTACTCTGTCTTAGTTCTGCTTATCCGGAATCTTTTAGATTCAAGAGCTTTTCTCCAAATTTCCAACTTTGTATTAACTCATTCCCTAGTCTCATCCACCAGCACTATATCGTCTGCAAAAAACATACACCATGGCACGTCATCCTGGATATTTCTCGTCAACTCATCCATAACTAAAGCAAAAAGATAAGGATTTAAGGTAGATCCTTGGTGTAACCCTACAGTGATAGGAAATTCATTTGTCTCTCCAGCAGGCGATCTAATAGTGGTCGCCACCCCTTCATACATGTCTCTAATCACATCAATGTAACCTTTTGTCACCCCTTTCTTCGCTAACACCCTCTATATTATATTCTGGGACACTCTATCATATGCTTTCTCAAGGCCAATAAACACCATATGAGTGTCTCTTCTCTTTTCTTTTCTCTATACTTTTCTATTACTCTTCTAAAAAGATAGATCGCTTCCATTGTTGACCTGCCAGGCATAAATCCAAATTGATTCTTTGACACTTCTGTTATATCTCGCAATCGGCGTTTTATCACCCTCTCACACACTTTTATTATATGACACATTAGTTTGATTCCTCTATAGTTGTTGCAATTGTGGACGTCTCCTTTATTCTTATAGATTGGCACTAAAATACTCTTCCTCCACTCATCTAGCATGTTCCTAGTCAACAAAATGTTGCTAAACAACCTAGTCAATCAAGCAACCATTTTTTATCCAAACACTTCCAAGCTTCAATAGAGATGTCATCTGGTCCTAAAGTCTTATTTGATTTCATCTTCTTGAGTGCAATCTCCACTTCAAAGTTCCTAATCCTGCGATGGAACTTATAGTCTTGGTTTATCGTATTACTTTACTGGCTATTTTTCCCATATTGTCGTATCTCTATGTTCCTCATTTAATAGTTTCTCAAAATAGTTCTTTCATTTTTCCTTAATCTCTTCATCCCTTACCAAAACCTTAGAATCTCCACTCTTGATGCACTTTACTTGATTAAAATCTCTTATTTTCCTCTCCCGTATCTTAGTAAGTTTGTATACCCTCTTCTCTCCCTCCTTACTATCTAGTCCAGTGTATAGGTCATCATAAGCTTTCAACTTAGACTCTCTCACTACTTTCTTGACCTCCTTATTAGCCAATCTATAGCTCTTGAAGTTTTCTTCAGTTCTATCCTTTTGCCACTTTTTAAAACACTCTTTTTTTGCCTTAACTACCGCTTGAACCTCTTCCCTTCACCACCAAGTTTCCCTAGAGCTGGGTACCATTCCTTTCGACTCTCCAAGCACTTCCCTCGAGATTCTCCTCATACAATTGGCCATCGAGTTTCACATAGTGTTAGCATTATCTTCCAAGTTCCAAGTACCTTCCTTATCCATTTTATTCTTAAATATTTCTAATTTATCCCCTTTTGGGTCCCACCATCTTGTCCTACGATGCCCACCATCCTTCCTAACTTGGTATTGCCCTCTAAAACATAAATCTAGTACCAAAATTCTATGTTGAGAGGTCAGGCTCTCTCCAAGAATCACCTTACAATCATTGCATTTTAGGCAGTCCACTTTTCTCACTAAGAAGTAATCTATTTGGCTCTTAACACCTATAATCATTACAGTTGTCTGTTCAGAAAACTATGGGGGCCTTTAAAATCTCTGTTTCTTTTTCTACCCATTGTCTCCTTGTGTCTGTTTTCTTTTAGTATTTGTTGCCACCTAGGCTTATTCACCTGTTTCTGAGCTTTGTATGACCTGTGAACCTCCTATTGATATTTATTTGCTTGGAAACCTGTTCAATTCTTTAAGATGGGGATGTGTAAATCTTTTCTTATTATGTATTTAGACCCACAGCCTGTGTTTTGAGTGTTGATTATGCCGTATTTCTTTCTATATGAGACCATGTGTCATATTTCCCAATGTTACTAGAGTAGGATCGGAACAGTTAAATTGTTATATGCTGCCTGGAGTAACCTTCAGTTAACAGGTTGGAGAAGCCAGCAAATCATCCAAACTTCCCACTGGATGACTGCTTTCCCCTCTTTCTTTGTGGGGTTGTAGAAGCCTAAAAACTCCATCGAGTGGTTTTGGAAATGTGTACTGTTTTTCTAGATCCTTGCTCGCGTATAGTCATGTTTGTATATAACTGAGAAAAAAAGGGCATATTTCTGTTGATATTTGTCATTTCTGTTAGTATGCTTTGTTCTTGAGACATAATTTTGTGAATTTGGCATGGCTGTAGCTACTGTGGCATGTGAGGTTTTATGGCTAATTATTTTGTTATTAGTAGCGAATGTGCAGAGTCCATAATCCACATATATTTATTTACTTATTGTGGAATTCTTCATGCAGAAAAGAGAGTAACACAATTATGGAATGGAGATGAAATAGGTGTATGCGGAATATCATGTGACCCTATGTGCAGAGAATGGTTAAGATGCAATTTTAAACCGTCAACATCTGTGTAGAAGATGGATGGAAATTCATCATGTGACTATCACACGACTTAAATATTAGTTTATTAAAATAAATTTGAGGGATTAAAATGAATCTAGAGAAAATCTTTTACGATTAAAGTGGTTCTAAATTGGGTCATGTGCTTTATCTTGATATGATCCTGCTTAAGTATCTTCTTTGGAGATCCTAGATCAAGCTGTACTATTGGATATGTTTCTGGGTTTAATAGACATAATAGACGTTAAAAGTAGATTGTACAATACACCATTAGTGAATTAAGTAATATAATTAAAACTTTAGGAATAATAAATAGCAAAGTAATCAATATAAAATGAAAGCTTATGGAATAAGAAATGACAAAAGTTTTCAGTATGGGAATCTTTATTGATTCCTCTCACTGACTAGTCTTTTTAATAATTTGAACTCCTGCTCTTTGAACCCTCAAAAGATGTCATACAACTAAAAATGATAAAAAAGGCTTTGAATTTCTGACAAGTTAATTACAGTTCAAAAAGTAGGTTGTAAAATACTTCCTCAAACCAGTCCCCCCAATAATTTTCAATATTATCAGAGGGCTCATCTAGATGAAATAATCTGGTTTCTTGTCCCTAAATCTGTCTGGTGATTGTTTAAACTAGAACCAGTAAGAAAGATTTTTAAGCCTCCGTTTGGGAAGTGGGTTGGCTTTTTGGCTTTTTGACTTTTTGACTACATAATAGACGTTAAAAGTAGATTGTACAATACACCATTAGTGAATTAAGTAATACAATTAAAACTTTAGGAATGATAAATAGCAAAGTAATCAATATAAAATGAAAGCTTATGGAATAAGAAATGACAAAAGTTTTCAGTATGGGAATCTTTATTGATTCCTCTCACTGGCTAGTCTTTTTAATAATTTGAACTCCTGTTCTTTGAACCCTCAAAAGATATCATACAACTAAGAATGATGAAAAAGGCTTTGAATTTCTGACAAGTTAATTTCAGTTCAAAAAGTAGGTTGTAAAATACTTCCTCAAACCAGTCCCCCCAATAAATATCATCAGAGGGCTCATCTACATGAAATAATCTGGTTTCTTGTCCCTAAATCTGTCTGGTGATTGTTTAAACTAGAAACAGTAAGAAAGATTTTTAAAAAATGCGCTCAATTTAGTATTCGTTGAATGGGGAAGGCATAGATTGAGTATATATCCAACTTTAAACATAATTTGTACAAAATAGCTGCCTTCAAGTTCGAATCCACAAACATACTAAAGATATAATACAAAAGTGAAGTTTTTTGGCTCCAGTTGTTAATTCTGCAATTGTAAATGAACATTCCTTGTTCAAGTACAATCCAAAAAGAATTGTTGTAGCTATAATATTATATTGGTATATCAGCTACATGAAAACTGTCCCCAAGTACTTCTCAAGGGTGTATCAATGGCTGTGGTTTCATTCTACACTCTATCTTGAGACCACTTGGGGCTTATGCCCAATAATTACTCAATATATGTAAAACAGGGACTACATGTACTTGAAAATCAGTCAGACAAAGCCCTGGACACCCTAGTACTTGAAAAACTGCCATTTACGCCAAAACCAAAACAGTATAGGGAAGAGAAAATGGCTAGAACAGAGGAACTGATTTACATGCTCTGCATTTTCATCTCTTGGTTCTGCAACTTCGGGCGAGCAGAGCACCTATGGGCGGACTAGTCATCTCCAACTGGCATCTCCCACGTAACCAGTAAGAAAAATGAATCAAACCCAGGTTAGCTCTCACTCTGAAAGTTCCTCTTATATTATAGATAACCCTGTTGCTCTGTACATGTTGTTGAAGCTCAAGTGCCAGATTTGGGGGCAAAAAAACCAAGCTTGATATCATGTGAACTGAGGCCAACCTTGCTTCACCTCGTCTCAGTGTAAAAGGCTGGAATGCTTGACTTGCGATGAGACTGTCGTAAAAGTAGAGCTCCACATCTCCATACTCAAATCTGACATCAAGTTTTCGGCTTGGGTTGGAGAAGTTTGCAAGGAAGGTGAAATCGCCGTTGAAATTCACAGGTGTGTCAAAGTAGATGAGATTGAGGCGGGCAGCAGGGGTATCGAACACTGGGTTTTTCGGTTTGATGACGAGGACGACTACCAAAGTTGCAACTCCGAAGAAGATGAGGAGGATGCTGAAAATCATACAGAGGATTGCTCCACACCACACTACCGGGTTGGTCCGGCGAGGCTGCCGCCGGATAATCGGTTGCTCTATCACTTTTCTTGTGCTGACATGTGAAATTTCTGGTGCTAAAGTAATCTGTTGTTTCATGGGTTTTGGTACCACAATTTGGTTGAGACGAGTGGACGTGGTGGTTTGGTTTGGGGCTGGAGGAGGAGGAGGAGGAATGGAAGACATTTTAGAAGTGTTTTTTGAAGCAAAACCTGTGAAACAAAGTAATGCGGGAGGACATGAAACATAGATGGGTATTAAATATTAAATAAGCTAGGAAGTGGAGGGATTGAGGAAAGTGAAAGAAAAATGAAGCTTTTCTTTGATAGATCAGAGGTAGTGGGAGCAATATTATATGTTTTGTTGAGATTTACAAAAGGAGGTGGGGCCTGAATTAAAGTTGAGCAACATAGGTGTTTGTGTTTGTGTTTGTGTTTGAATTGTTTTGCTTTTGCTTTGCTCTAGTGCAGCCTGAGGGTTTGTTCAATTCCAATTTCCACACACCATCTTTTTGTAGTTCAAATATTTTTTCATTTAGTTATCAATTACCGAATAAAATTATACAGTTTAAAAGTCAAATTTCGAACAAAAAACTCATGGTTTGGCTATACCTTTGGTTTAGAAGTTGATATCTAAACCATAAATCTTTATTTGAAAGTTGATTTTTTTGAATATTTTTTTTTGCTTTGTAGTTGATAGCTGAACTAAAACGGGTATATGGACCAGCAAAAAATAGTGTATAGAATAGAAATAAAAGTTTCGATTTTTTAGATTTTATTTTAATTAATGCATAATAATATGTAGTTTTCTGTTCAATATATATCATGTATATTAAGTAATTATCAATATATTAAAAGTCTTCATCGGAAAAAAAAAATTAAAATTTTAAATTGATTCATTAAAGTTATAAACTCTGACCAATTGAGACAACTCAATTGATTGATTTTGCTTTTGTAGTTGAAGCACTGCTTGAATAACTCGAAACAAAAGGGCAAAGCTGTTTGTGCTTTGTTGAATTTCTGCTGATGGATTTTGTGTTTGACCATTAAAACGTTGAATTGAATTGATACAAAACGGACGGCTTTGATTCTATTTTGTATATGGATTATATGATCAACCACGCGGTACTCCTGCCCAGATAGCTGATTACTTTTTTGTTTTTCTTCTGTTTCTGTGTCAATGCTTAGTCACTAAGAAAGTATTGAGCATAAAGCTAGAACAACTGTTTGAAATTTTGTCTCACAATTTCGACTTTTAAAAATGTTCATATAATTGCTATCTTAGAAATCTCACATCTAATAAATAATTTTTAATCAGATTTTAAAAATAATCTATATTCTTTGATTCAAAAATTTTCTTATTAAAAAATTTCATCATTTTTAAATTATTTTTTTACACAATTTTAATATAAAACAATGACTGAAGACTACTTTGCAAGCATTATTTTTAAAAAATAAATATTAATTTATATATAATTGTGTTCAATAATCTATTCGAACCAAACTTAACTCTATCAGTCAAAAAATTAAAAATATAAAAAAGTTGAAGAACTATACAAAAAGTAAAAAAAAAAAAAAATTCTTTACTTTCTGTACATTTTTTCGTAAACAATTAAAAAATTATATCAAACATATTTAGTTTTTTCCCCTCATATTTTAACAAAAAAATCAAAAAATTATTAAAATAACCTATTCTCAAACCAACCAAAAAATTATTAAAATAACCTATTCCCAAACCAACCATAGCAAATAAATTTATAACATAGAAGAAAAAATTGTTAAAGAAAGCAAAAAGGGTAAATTACTCTTACCCATTTTTAATAAGCTTAAAATATAATTAAGGGGTTTTTTTTTTAAGGTCCCTGGTATTATGATTTTATAGCAAAAAGGACACCAAATATTTTCATAATGTCTAAGGTCCCTCAACAATATTTTCATAATATCTAA